ACTGTGTAACTCTTCTGCTACTGCACGCACTCAGTGCACAGCGTACTGTGTAACTCTTCTGCTACTGCACGCACTCAGTGCACAGCGTACTGTGTAACTCTTCTGCTACTGCACGCACTCAGTGCACAGCGTACTGTGTAACTCTTCTGCTACTGCACGCACTCAGTGCACAGCGTACGCATTCATCATACATTTAGAAACGATAGAGGATATTTTTCGAACAATTACGAAATTAGAACCGATTTACTATCGCTAAATTAGTGTTCAGTGATTTGCCTTACTGTAATCTACAGTCATATGCAAAATAGCGAAACCATGCACCAACTGTCCATATCAGTAAATCACCGAACACAATTCTACAAAAGTGTAGTTTGATTATAGCGTATATACATGGTTCTGTATTTAACAAAACAATATTTAAAACTAGAAGCGATATACTTTGTATTGTCATTAAGTCGGTTAGTCAGTCCCATGCTGCACGTTGATTGTAAAGTTGACATTCCGGGATACACAGTATTATTATTTAAAGTCCACGTTAAGACTTCAAAAATTAAACAAGCTTCCTCTCCACTCTAAACAGATTTGAAGGAATTTCCCGTTCTCATAACAATACGGCAACATCCCATGAGTCTCTTGCTACGAAGCTTGGTCATACATAATCCATATTTAACTTCGTTCAATCACATCACATACGAGTGGTTATCAGAGCAATACGCAGACAACTACGCCTAGGCTCCGTCAATGTAAAGGTAAGACTAAACTTTAAAGAATGCTGTTCTTGTTCAGACGGATAGAAATGTAACTGGTTATCGGGGTCGTTACGCTGACGAGGAATGATTGGTATGTTATCGTGTGGTGTGATGTTGCTACGTTCGCCGCATTCCTGCTTATAGTATGTGCCTTATCTGCAAAGACATACGGGTTCTCACTAAGCTATTTTCTTGTGAACGTATTGAAGATTTCAAAACTGACAAAATAACAGTTATCATATATCCGTGGCAAATTGTCGACGTTTCTACAAATATATACCATTTAATATGGACTGATGCATCGTTCTGACATATATATTTCACAAATATGCAAATAACCCAACTTTAAAATGATTGAACTTTAAATTGACACGTAGTACATGTGCAGTCGTGCTTGTTTTTAAGTATTCAGTAATATGCTATGACGCGAGACCAGTACGAGGAAAAACATTACTCGGTTATCAACAGTTGTTCAATATTTCCGTCATTCCCCCCCAAAAAAAACCAAAAACAATCACTAACATAATATCGTGATTGGTCACTTCCTTGGTTAAAAGAATAAATTTAGAATATATATATGATATATAAGTTGTAGCCTCAAAACGTTCTAACTTCCCCATGAGAGATAATTGCATATATGTATTGGTCCAGTGGCACGTGAACTCTGTTGCCCGTCACTATTGCACTCTTCATGTGATAGAAAGTGCAATAAAATCCAATTCAAAGTTTCTGTGATGTACAGCTTTCTTGTATGGACTAAATCGATAGAATTGACAATCAATTTGCAAACATGTTGTGATGTCGAAAACTGTTTTTGCTTGTCTGGTGTGCATTTGTAAGTAAATTTAAAGCAGGTAATAATATAATTCTTGTTGATGTACTTAATTATACAAATTTTGAAGTCGACGTAAAATAATGCGGTATGTTGCATGTTATAAGGGAAACCTCCACCTTTTTTTTGTATCGTAACTACTCCTTCTTCCACTTTTTCTGCAACCTTATTTCATTGTCGTATAGTCAAATACAGAGGTATTGATAAGTGTAAAACGTCAATTGCATCATGTTAATATAGAAATGAATTAATAATTATTAAATTATATATTCCAAAAGCGAAGGAAACAAATCATGTGTTTTATTCAATAATGCAACATATTTATGACAAAGTGCATCAATATGCGGCTGTGCATATTGACCTCATGGACAGTCTACTTTTCGCAGTGGGATAATCGCAATTACGACAGGCCAGCCTCACCCTGTTTTCAACATGAGCAATGCAAATTTTAAACAGAGTCGGATGACTATGGCCTGTAGTGTTAATAGTGATGGATGAGGCAACTAGTAGGTTGTAAAAGCTTCTATTTCACTGTACATACATATTGTCACAACTAAAAAAACTTTAGTATCCATTTATTTTATTTTTTCTATCTCACAGATTTACAATCAATTTATCTCCTTGAAAGATGGGTAATGGTGCATGATGGTTAATCGCAACGCCACTCAATATATCGCGACAATGTCCACCTACATTACACGTTATAATTTCACTGCAATGGAAGATGCAAGTAACGTTGCGAACATGACTTCGAATTACAGTGATTACGATTATATTGATGGCAACGACGGCGCGTTGAACGATATATATGACGAGATGCGGGACGCGATTCGCGTACCAATGACAATTTTGTGGATTACCATTTTATTGGTAGGTCTATTAGGAAACGTTGCGTTCATGTACGTAGCCATTAAGGTACGATGGATGCGAACAGTTACTAATTTGTACTTGATGAACCTCAGCTTAGCAGACGTAGCTTATCTTTGTGGCAATTTGCCGATAGAAGTTATGTCTCTTTACGGAGTGAATCTCGAAAATCAATTTGCTGTGTGTTTCTTGACAACTCTTCTTACTTACCTGTGTCAATACGTTGGAATGTTCTCGATCACTATTATAAGTATTGAGCGCTACTATGCCATATGCTGTCCCCTCACCGCAAAAAAACTGAGTAGCAAATCGCGATCGCGGAACCTCATCATCATTGCCTGGATTGTAGCGGCGCTACTGTCTTCGGTTTTTTTCGCTTCGTGTATATTGGAGAATATCCCCTTCACAATCAGCATCTTTTTGATGGTGATTCAAACAGTACCCTTTGTGGCATCTATGGTCATCGTGCTATTGTTGTATTTGATCATCGGCCGCCAGATTGCTAACAGCACTCAGCGTGAAGCTGTACCCTGTAAAGGATCCCGAGCACGAAAAGAGAGACGCCAAGTTATAAATCTACTCATCGTTACGGCCATAATCTTTTTTCTAAGTGTCTGCCCCTATCAAGGATTTTTGATATATTATTTGTGCGCGGCATACAGACTTGTACCTGCTTTCCAGCACTATCCGTCTGAATCTGTCTTGCGAGACATGTATATCATGAACAGCTTCTTCATCACATTAATGTATTTTAACTCAGCTATAAACCCGGTGATATACAACGCAACAAGTTCCAAGTATCGACAGGCATTCAAAGAAGCTCTACCGTGGCTATGTTGGAAGGGGAAACCTCATCACGAAAGAATGTTTTCAGATCGCTATAACTCCGAGGGGAACGGGACACAGTCATATAACATGAGACACAGCACAGTGACAACATATCGGCCCCATTATCCCGTGTCGACCATGACTCTTCCAACCACCGTGTAGCCAAATAATATGTGTAAATCATACCAATAGACAATATCCCCCGCGAGCGGGAGTCCCGCGCTGATTAAGGTAATCATTTGCGGTAGATGTTTGTATTTTGAAAGATGTCATATACCCAGCAGATACACTATAATACATACGAGTTAAAGACTATATACGCCTTGCATGTCGATATTGATGTATTTAAGATAAATCTGTATTACCTTCATTAAGTCTAAACAGGCATAGCCTTGGGAAATCAGAAACCAGGATGGAAAACAATGCAAATAACACAACCTTCGGACATGATACTACTGTAAATAAATCCCTGCATTATACAGACGCTGAATAACTCGCCTACCTTTATTTATAGCTAGATTAATTTATTTTTCCAGAGTGTGTTCACTAGTGTACTGTCTGTACAAATGCGCCAGAGACGCATGTAGGTTGAAACGCTCAAACTGAACTTTCGTTTTCAATATACGGTGTATTGCGACTTTCAAAACAGGTTATTAATCTTTTTTTGTAATTACCGATCACAAGACTTTAAAAGCTGCCGTCATGGAGCTCGATAATTGACACTAAAATTCAATCAATTGTCACGCCATGGGAATTGGCGTTCGCATCGTTCGTTAGAATATCGTAAATCGAAACAATTCACTTTATATTGTACATCTAAACCAGCGTTATTATTGACGTTCCTATGATTTGGATTGTATGGTTAAATAAAATTATCACCATAGACTGTATTCACGAAGTCTATTTTATTTAAGACAATGTTACTGCGTACAATGTTAGGCGTTAATCACGTCACATCGCATCTGGATATAACCAGCGTCCATATGAATGGACATTTCCCCTCTCTATTACGCCTTGTTGCCTTTCTTTCCTGTCACTACAATCCAAACCTTTCGAATTGCAAACGAAAGTACTGTTCTGTACAAGGTCTTCGTTAAAAACATTTTTATTTATCAACAAGCGTGTTCTATTTAACGTTTAGTTTATATTTTATTAGATCTTGTCGCATTTTTGAATGACGTTCTTCTAATTTAACAATTTAAAAAAACATGAAATTTAAACGCAAGGCTACACACGTCACAACTCAACTGACGGAAAGGTTAATTAGTACACACTCCAATATTACTTGGGTTGATATTTTGTATTGATATAACACGCTCGGAAATGCATGTTGTTAATCAGCCGGGACCTAAATAATCGCAGGACAAAATCAGCTTCATTGTCATTATCCTCGTTTTTCCAAGTTGAATAACTAACTGAATTTGATAATATTTTATTTAGGTCACTTAATATCGACTTACGTGTAATTCAATTGTAAAACTGATATTAAGCAATTTATAATTTCTAGATGACGAGAAATAGAAACAATATAATAAAACTCACATAGAGATTTGTAATAACATTAAGGGTTAGATTATAATCAAATGTTAGGTAGACGAGATCATCGTACGACCGAAAAAAGATCAACAAATAATGTATTCCATCGCCTTAGGATGGACATTCTTCTATGATGTATTCTTCATTGCTATGCCTGCCTTCTGGGGTCGGCGATCTCATTTTATGTATTGTTTTCCCCACATTATGTTGGTACACTATAAAGAACAGTCGCGGCTAATACCAATCTACTTATTATATTTCACGAGTGACCCTTTCTTTATTGTCAAATAAATTGTATTTTCCCATTATTTTTTTATATTATGTTTTGCCAATATATTCGTTTCGTAGCCATTAAAAGACAAAAAGTGTAAACAAATAGTCCGAGTATCTTTATCTTAAGAGCTACACAATTTATTTACGTATTCTGGGATGTACTGGTAACATGACCTTCGACCTTCGCGCAATTATTTATCACAATTTTTATCTTTATTTCCACTTTATGCAATCCATGAGAAATGCCTGAGAAAAGTTTATTTTGAGGAGCATTAGAAATGGCTTCATGGCGCAAACACACTTCATATTATATTTCAAACCACCAAAAATATTCGACCGACCATTCAGAACTTTAATAAATACAGTGTGAAACCACAAAACAAGTTCAGTCAGACATAATATCAAAAGTTCAATTATTGACACTGCATTCAATGCATTGTTTAATCGATTACTGTGAAGTTTATTACATAGTATGGAGATATCGAAACTATCACATTGTTTTATCACATTATCACACTGAATAGATATCATGTGAGATAATTATATAATATCGCATTCGTCATTCTCAGTTTAAGGTGAGTGGGGAATACGGGGTGGGGTGGGGGGATTAGTTGTCATAATCCCATAGTCGCAGCCAAGTTTCTAGTAGTAGTAGTAGTAGTAGTAGTAGTAGTAATTGTTGGATTTCGATATACTATTGGATTATTTGACTACCTTGGACGCACATAATTATATTTGAACATATGTGATTGCGAGAACGTCTCTGTAATTCAGTGGGAATACATGGCACCAGACTCTTGCTTTTGAAATAGATGCATTTTTTCAAAGGTTATTGTCATCAACTGAATATTTCGAAATAGTAATACAGTTCTAATGTGTGACAATAGTGTACTGTATAAAGGGGCTCACTTGATTTCCGGAACCTATATCTAAAGTTTTATACCTAATTCAATGGTTAAATAGAATGAATAATATTTCCAATAACACATCATCAGGTATGTTTTGCGTGCGGTTTAAATTTTTATTATTTGTGTCGGTTCAACGAACGACCTTACAAATCATACAAACGAACTGATAGTAAATTTTAACGGAAAATTCCAGACATAGTACAGTGTGTGCATACCTGTTTACACTAGATATTTTGATATATCTTATTAATACTGAAAGTGTAATCTATTTCACACACGGGAAGTATGTTGATGATTAAACCATATCATCACAGTGTAAAAATATTTACCAATATATGATGCAATACTTTAAATGGTCATTTATATCACAACTATATTCACATTAGTGCTGCTGACGTTATACCAATTCGATATGGTGTCAAGTTAACAAGCATTACCGTGGTACGGATAGCACATACATTAGAGTGTGTGTACTCGTATTTAATTCAAAAGTTCGCGAGTGACACTGCTTGCTCGCGAATTTAAATATTAGGCACAGAATGTGATACAAATTCAGGCTTTATACCAATATTTTGGCGAATCATATGCTTGTTTAGAGACAGGACGTGATAAGCTGTACATGCAAGGCTAATGTTTACGGCTATTTAATCCAGCAGATCGGAAGGTGGATACGTTATTTACGAATAATTAACAGTAAGCAAGGTTCGAAAGCGGTCAAGCAACCTCGTAGATGTTCGCAACTAATTAAAAAATTTAGGTTATCACCGAAGGGTCCTTGATTGCATAATTATTACAACGAGATCCGTGGATGCCAGACAGAAAGACGACTTAGTCTTCTCAGTATTAGTCGGTATTAGTCGCAATTGTCCACTCACTGCACTACACAGCAGACATAATAGTTATAGATACACTGTAATTGGTGAATGTTCACCACCATCACAGTACTTAGAGCCATGGGACAAGTATCTTGTCACTCTTAGAAACTTGACCGGTCGTACATAATACGTCCGCTGAGAGGGAAACATTAACAACGCCAGTGTATAACAAAGTAGAATGTTTGCATAAATACTTGTAACAACATGTATAATATATATAATGAGTCATATATACTAAACCCAAACTCACAATAAGTATTTTTCGAGTGCATTAAAAATATTAGCCGGACTATGTTGAAATGGATTAGTTAATATAATATGCACTACCATTCAGATATTTGTATTTCCGTCGTTGTAATATTCACCGGTCATTGAGGCATTTTGAATCTAGTATCCATGATATAGAACTAGTATTTTGTCATGTTAAGACAATTCCATCCACCAAAAGAAGAATTCAAATTTGTTTAACTCGCGCACTCATTCATCCAACCACACACTCAATCAGTCAATCTGTGAGCCCACACTATGACTGTAAACTCATTTTCACTCAGCCTAATTCTGTCCATGATAACTTTGATTATAGTACGATCAAGTTAAACAACTTGTCATTTTGTTACAAATATATATATCTATAGGATGCAGGGCGGATTCTTTAAAAAATAAATAAAAGCACATGAATAGAAACAGCTAGTAATAAATAACTGCAGCTCTTCGAGTATCCAGACACGATACAAAATAAACACACTGGGAAAATGATTCAAAGTGTATGTAAGCACTTTCAAGAAAAATGCCCGCGAACGTAAATTGAACAGATTGTTTCACAATGTAAATATACCATTATCCATATGGGATTTGAATTGAAACAAGTAATTATAATCACTGCCAGCAGCTACAACGAGTCGGCATTTTCACGAGCATTACTGATGCGTTGCCGAGACCCCGAAAGTCAGCACCTGACGCTTCGTGCACTTTGAATGCAATAATGATGAATACCTAACATTTCAATTCGTGCAAATTGGGTAATTAGGTTCACTTTTGTACAATTATCGCCCTAAGGTAAAAATATAACATATCGTGATTATACGATTCTATAGCAACTTGCTCACATTAAATTAGCTTAAACAACCAACTGGGGTGAACACCTGAAATGCTTTTACATTGGCTTCTAGTGACGATCGTATAGTTTCTTCCTTCATTTCCCCAATTCTTGTTAATACGGACACTGAAGCATGGTTAACTGTTCATAGTTGTATTCATAGACACATGAACAATGTAACTATGTTGATTTTTTTTCGTAAACACGTGTTCTATTAGAAGAAAACTGCATTTGACAATACCACATCCACAAAAGAACAACTCTTCTATCACTCTCAATTGTTCAAATTCCAGTCCTTACGTGATTATCATAGTTTATAATCCCTAAAATAAGCGAGGGTAGCAACTTTGTTGATTTTAGACACGGCGCCGATTATGTACATTTAATGTTGAAATTGAATACAATCACAAAATCATAAGTGAGTCGTTTCGAAAGGTAAGATTCATCGAAGTAGAGATTAATGTCCACGAAAAA